GTCCAAACCACTGAAACAAAACAATTTGTGACATTTTCTATTCATTATCTTGTATTTCCAGAGGCCCACCATGGTCTCCAAAGGCTTTTGGGCCTTCAAAATGAACTTCATAATCAGTTAACACTGAATGCTCTGTTGCTTCTTTTTGTGTTTCCAGGATTTGCTTACTGCTGTTGAGAAAATTAACTCAAGCCTGAACAAGAAAGCTAAAACAAAAGGATATAGCTATTTCCTCCAAGACGAAATAGCATCATTGGATTTGGGTATGCAATGCATGGTCCAGTTTTTATTGAATAGATTCTTTCTGTTTCCTTGGTTTGGCAATGTTTGAATAGTTCTTTATAAAGGCTTTATTTTATTAGTAATCCTTGATATTTGGGTTGTTTGTTATTCTTCTCACGATGTATGATTGTCATAGGGCCTAAAAGCAGAGTTTACTTGCTGCTGCTCACACGCATGAACCGTCTTGTTGTGGAGACAATTGATGGTCTGATTTCTTATCGTGTCTTATAACCAAGATATATTACCGTAGGTAAAATGTCGCCTATCCTCGTTCTAAACTCCATTGATATGTAAAGTAATTTTGTTTGTTATAACTTGTTTTTATTCCTCCACAGCCCTTCCATCTCAAGTTTCTAGAGATGTTATCACGTTATTGTTGCAGCAGTGCTATCCAGCCAACGCAGGTTCATAGAAAGCATTGTCTTCAAACAGCAGCCTTGGATCAGAGATGACAAAATCTTCTCATTCAGAAGTGAACGACAACTTCCCCGTTGGCCGGAAAAGATCATGGCTGGTTCCTATGTCGTAATCTGTATGACATTGTGATCTTGATGATTGATTTGCGTAAAAATGTTACTGATATTGTCCTTGACTCTTTTTTTTTGGCCATGTTCTTGATTCAAATATTTACCGATGATGATGATTTAAACCAATGGAAAATATTGTTCCTCAAATATGAAGATGTGATGAAATACAACGGAAGGCAAGTTTGGAATATCCAGAGAAAGTATTGTTCCTCAAATATGAAGATGTTATGAAAGATACCACTCATGTGAAGAAGATGAGAGAGTTCAAGATACCCTTCCATTGAGGAAGAACAAGAAGGGATTGTGGAGAAAATCGCAAAAAAGTGTAGTTGAGTTTCGGAGCAATTTATGAGTAAACAAAAAAGGGTTTGTAGAGAACAAAAGAAAGATGAATCAAAAGGGATTGGAAGAATCATCTAACACTTGAGATGGCAGAACATCCTAACAAGGGATATGATGAAAGAGAGAACTTTGCTTCTGCCAGGTCTCAGCAAACTACGCTAATCATTTCAGCGGATGAGAAGAATTTGTTTTCCCTCGATTTGACAGAGATCTATGTCAACAAAATGATTTTTCAACAAATAAAAAATTTACCAACTTAGATAACACATAACATTATTATATTTGTTGTAAAATTGAGTGTGAACAATTTGATTTAGAAATATGAAAAACATTATTGTCAAGGATATATAAAACTATATTTGTAGTACGTCAAAACTACAATTTCTAAAGATCTTTCTCCAAATTTGTGTTTCTTTTAACCCAATTTTAGAAGAAATCCCGTCACAGAAGTTAAAGTTAAAATACACAAATATATAAAAAAAAATATATATATATTTAAGATTGCATAAAATCAAGATGTCTGAATATCTAAACCGTTAAAAATTATAATAAAAAGACTTATCAAGTAATGGAATAATTTTACGTAGAATCCTACCATCTTAAATGGCAAGAAGATTCACTGTTGATTTTTGTAGAAGCTACTAGTTTTTGGGGTAAAACTTTCCTTAAGCCACTGAATTTGATAAATTTTGTTAATTTCTTTTGTTATAATTATTTTATATGAATTCATGATTCAATATACTTTTACTAAAATCCTACTCAGTATTTCTACAAGGCGAAACAGGCTGTGTCTTCTGGCTCTGGTAGCAGAAGAATCAGAGAGAATGGAAATCATTTGCCATTGAGAAAGAAAAGAATGTCTGTGCAATAACAGTGAAGGTGAGATTTCAATTTATTAGGGAACGAATACATTATAAAATAAGCGCAAAATAGGAGGAAGCATAACAGTTTTTCTTAAGTCCAACACTTTCTAACTACAAAAATGTAAGAACCGAGAAAAATGAGATGCACAAAGAAGGAAAAAGAATGAACACAAGGGCGACCAAGTGACCAACTATACCCGGTATACATCTCATCAAAACCTTATGCACTGCTAAATTACACTGGAGTTGTATATGGAAAGCCAGCAACCTCTCAAGTCGAGAGGTGCCTTCCTAAAGGCGGAGGCAATAAGCATACAGAGGCAATAAACGCTCATGCATGGTGTATCAACAGTGAATAACCTCTCCTGTTCCCACCAACATGAAAAACAAATATATGACACGAAGGAAACAATCATTTAAACCTACAGATATGATCTTCAAAGCCTTAGTTCATGGAAATTGCCACTCACTTTTGCAGCTTCTAAGGCCTATAATGCTACCATCACATCAAGGGATCTCCACCCCAACTAATATGCTCCTAGGCATGGTGCCTACTAGTTGTATATTTTAACTGGCCTCTCAAATGTGTGACGGTTCTGCGATTGTTCCAGATAATTGAACATAAAACTTAGGCTCAAAACAAGTTTTGCAGTTCAAGTAACAAAGGAGAGAGAGAGAGATAGTAGCGCACCTGATTTACATAAGACCTCTTTGGAGTATTATCAGCATGCTCCAACCCAAGGTATTGCTCCCAAGCACCATAAACATCTCTCCTCTAAGGAAATAATGGAGAAAATTTTAATATTCAATTCCAATATCTAAAAGAGGAACAAAATTCACAATCATGTATACAGACATTTTTGGCCAAGGAATCAAAGAACAAACCAAAAAAATAACATAACCAAACACAAGCAGATGAACAAACCTGAAAACGGTTGACTACAATGTCAGAGTCCTGCAAATACTCGGGACGACCAAGTGAGAGAAATGCAAACTTCCACTGACCAAAGAGATGGGGAGATAAGATGGTGGTGAGAAACTGATTTCAAGATTCAACATACATGCACACATCTAAATATAACAAGTTCAATAAAATAAAATGCCAAATTTCAGTTCCAACCAAAAATGAAAGTATGAAAAGCAGTAATTTAGTGGGATTAGCAGGAAGATACCTTAGCAAACTCTTCATCTGGAACCTGCAATTTCTTTTGTATCCGGACTTTAACTTCAGCTATAGTTTCACCCTCATGAATGACTAAGAAAAATGGTTCCCCAAAGTTCTGTACTTGCTGCTTAACAAAACAAATAATAATAAATTAGAACCTAAAGTGTTAACATTCAATAGTTAGCCATGTAACCAATTTTTTTGAAACTAATTGGCTAAAGATATATATAAGACATTTCAATACCGTCTGATTCTGGGCAGTCTCGCTAGTAAAGTGGTAAACATGAATCAGGCGATCATGCGGACTGAGACTCTTCTCTTCTTCTGGGATCTGGGAGCCAAAAAAGATAACAAAGTTTAGCTCAACCAATAGAAAATGAGGAAATGTGGTAATTTACCCGGTCATGCATGATATTTTCCTCTACTGGTAATCTCAGATAAAATTCCAGAACTAATCCACTCAGTTTCATGCCAATTGACTGGGACATTTCAGAACAGAGGTGTAAAAGGAAGAAAATGCCTAGTATCCACTTGGACTTTAAAGGCAAGCAATATAATGTCAGTTTCACATTAACTTGCATAGACCCCCACTGTCGACACACCCAGGCATGCTAAAGTATTGAAGAAATTTGAGTTGTGGCACAGAGGTGCAAACACACTAATGACCTCTAGTGATGAATATCTTCCACAAATAGGTTCCACTTTGTAGAATATTATCCTCTCAGGAACTTCTTGGTAAAAGTTTGTCTACAACTGACAGGCACCCCAATATATCTATTATCTTTCATCAGCTAGAATCTCAAAGAAGTTGAATTCACAGTACTCATGTTAAGACTAACAAGACGGCACTCACAATCATAAAAAAGTATCATGCATCATGACTAGCTTTTTTGGCCAAAATGCATCACAAGTAGTTTGAAAATGATTGACTGAGCAATAACAGTCAAGGGAGAGAAATGAAAAGGCAACTTGCCTCCTCTGCACGCAATGTCCAGTACTGATCATTTATATTCTCAATCTTTTCAGTAGGTGGAAAAATCTGAAAGGATGAGGCAGCATAATGATGAGCCACAGAAAACTGGAAAAAAGATTAAGTTGTCCAATACCAATAGGACTCTGAAATCGAATTACAGATACACTAACGTAGAAAAAAAGAATATTTGGATATCAGCAGGCATCACATCACCAACTTCAGAAAGAGGACCACAAAGAAATCCATCTTTACCTTATAGATCTTGTGATAGAAGACTTCAAGCAGTCTAAGCTCTGCAGTTGGATGTGACAACTCCACCTGTTTCATAGTGCAAAATACAGATGTAAATTAATTATTGGTGCCAGAAACTACAATATCCATTAGCAGAGGTAAGAAAAAATACTTCAAATTATGGACTCCTAGGATGGGAGATATGCATGAGACTCACAATTAAGATACAAGAGAGCAGTCTTACCTTTGCCTTAAGTTCATTAATCACGTCTCCTACAGTGCTCTGTTTGGGCAATCTAATATTGTGAATGACCACCTGAAAACCATTTGAAGGTATTGCATAAAGGCAATGAACAAAAAATATAATCCTTTATAAAGGAGGTTCAGAGAGAAAGAGAAAGGAGGGAGATAAATACAGAGTCCATACTTCATCCTTAGTTGCATGATGGAAAGCAACTTTCAGGTTTTTCAAACCTTGCAATTCCGGCAGAGGAATATCCAGAACTTCATAATACAAAATGTCAGTTGTCTGTAAAATGAAGAGAAAACACCAAAGTTATCATCTAGAGTTTAACATGCATAAAGGGAGTAAACATAGCAAGAACTGAATCCAAGTGATCTTACCTGGTTATAGTGGACTAACATTTCTGACAAATGCTCCACTCCTCTATATTTAATAGGTTGAGGCTTAGGTTGTTGAGAGTAGCAGTTGTGAGATGTGAGCCTGATTTTGGATGGATCATCCAAACCAATTTTTTGAGCCACTTTTTCCACAACTTCATCATAATTGTGTATCTTTGACCTTGACAATTTCAAAAGAAATGATATTTGAATATCTAGGAAAAATGCATAACCAACCCACCATCTAAAGCAAAAGCTTCTGCTGAAAGTACTTAGTACTTACAACTCAAGAGAAAATTCATCCTCCTTTGGTCTCTCTAGAGTTCGAAAACGAACTACCTATACCGCATGAAAACAGAGAATATATTATTTGATCTGACCTTAGTACCAATGAAACATTATAAATATTCCTTTTCCTCTCCATTATTGAATCCTAAGTCCTCAGGGTGAATTATAAAAGAAGATTTCTTTTTCTTGTAACAAGTAGGATTACAGAATTCAAACACCAAACATTAAGAAATACCATCCCCAAATATTCTTGCATTGAACAAACTGCAAAAAAAAACAATAAGATATTTGGTATGTCTCAACAGTTATTGTACATTACTATTTTCAATAGAATGTACCTGGCGATTATGCACATATTCTAGAAATGAAGGCACATCTGGATATCGACATTCTTCTTCACTTTCAGGAGGATGGGATTTCTGAAAGCAAATGATGTCCCCATCTTCTATCTACAAAGAAATCCAAGAGATACCAAGTCATCCCAATCTACCGGGGGAACCAGCATATGCCTCAAAACTAAAATATACCAAGACTTAATTGAAATGAGGTTACCTGACTTAATCGAAATGAGGTTCTCCTATCAAGGTGTTCACACATTACGCAAGGCTCAAACTTTATTTCCTGAGTTTGCAAACAAATAAAAGAGATCAAATTTTTCTAAGAGAACCATATAGGATGCAAATAAACACAGAATAGGGATGTAACAAACCTCATAAAGATCTAATTCCTCATCAGGAGCAAATCCAGCCATTTGATTTAGCTTCATGATATATTCTGTTGGCTTACCAGAACTTTTTACTAAAAGCCTACCAACATACCTGCATCATGAAACAATTAAGTAATTTCAGAAACCAGGAGAGTAAAAGACAGCTTAAAAGTAAAGAGAGAAATGAAAGTTGGATACCGTAATTCTCCTTTCTCTGGGTCATAAAGCTTGAAAAAGAGAAGAATATGTTCTCTAGTCTTCTCAGGCAGAGGAATAGGATGCAGATCCTAAATCACCATTTTCAATCATTAAAAGTATATATAAGAGTACTTTCCTTTTGGAGACAACCAATGGCAGAGTACTCATGAAATTTAAATATCAATAAAAAAACATTACTGGCCCATGCTCCACTTCCAAGAATAACTTTAGTTCTGCATTGTGGGTCTTATTTGACATTTCTCTTAACTGTCCAACCTGAAATTGAGAAAAAATAAAATAAAACCATTAGCTTTCAAGGTTAAGTATCAATATTTTTTTATCTTTTGTTTAAAAAAGATGCCAACTTTAGTTTTCGAACATAAATGTGAACATTTTGGCCAAAGAATTCCAGAACTACCAATGGTTTAAAATAGCAAATGAAACATGTTAATGGCACTGAAAGACTGACAGCAAAAACTATGAGCCAAGTCCATTACAGAGTCAGTGACACCTGGAGTGTGAACTGAAGCACCTTATGCATAGTGCATGATTTTGATTTTCAAACATAACAATTAAAAAAGTGTAAAATAAGGAATTCTAGTCCATGCTAGAAATAATATCAAATTGGCAGGGAGATTAGAAACAGAAATTGGAACAATGATATGAATTCTGTAAGCAAGAAACAGAGTAACAGACATCTATTCTACTTCATCACCCAGCTTAGAGCAGATAAATGACAAAATTTACAATAGTATCTCTCACATCTAAAATTCATAAAATAATCGAAATAAATATATCACCCACTACAATAAGGGAACCAGCAGCATAATTGGAAGACCAACTTTTTGTCAATAAAATTTTGCTTCTTTTTGGCCAAGGCAATAAAAATTCAAAAGGAGAATGAGTAAAGAAAGGCCATTGCTTTAGAGCACTCTGTTAATCTTTGCAAAGAAAAGAAAAGGATTGTTCAAAGGATACATAACCCCTTTTATTTTTTGGCTGTCAAAGGATGAAAAACCCTTTAAAACAGTCAAAATAACAGCTGAAAGGAATTTTCCCAATTAACGCTTGATTTTACAGAAGGCTAATGCTACAATTAATTGTGATACACTGATACTACAGGGTGAGAATTGAGAATTTAGCATTACTGCTGTTTGGTTAACCCTTTAAAACAGTCAAAATAACAGCTGAAAGGAATTTTCCCAATTAACGCTTGATTTTACAGAAGGCTAATGCTACAATTAATTGTGATACACTGATACTACAGGGTGAGAATTGAGAATTTAGCATTAATGCTGTTTGGTTATAGACATATACATATACATACATACATATGATATTTAGGTTTTTATATGAGTAGGGATCCACTTACACATAAGTTTTACGCACCACACTTACACAAAATCTCAACCATTCACCTCTCCACTTTCAATGGTTGAGATTTTGTGTAATTGTGGTGTGTAAGATTTATGCATGAATGGATCCCTCCTCTCTCTATATATATATATATATGAGTTGGGATCCATTTACACACAAGTCTTACACACCACACTTACACAAAATCTTGACCATATATCTCTCCACTTTCAATGGTTGAGATTTGTCATGAGTTTTTAGATGAAAAAGATAATTGTCTTTAATAAATATGATAAAAAAATGAATAAACCTCAACCATTGAAAGTGAAGAGATAAATGGTTGACATTTTGTGTAAATATAGTGTGTCAAACTTGTGTGTAAGTGGATCCTAACTCTCTCTCTATCTATATAAAGGAATATTTCTATCCCTACATATTCAGGGCAGGGGCAAAGAATCCTAAAAGCCATGCACCAGCCCCATATTTCAATTAGAAGCCTCAGTAATGACAAGCAAAAAGCATAATAAGACAAGATGATTTGGAAGTAGAAAGTGCCTACAGATTGTGCTTCTTCCTGAGCTGTCAGTGGTCGATTAGGACGATATGTATGGTTTTGCCGCTTTGCCCAAATCCAAAATCGCTGGTATTGCACTGGTATGCCAAACTCTTTGGCAACCTCCTCCTATGAATGAGCTTAAAGTTAGATATGCCAACAATTTCATGATAATTCTCCACAGACGAAGGTACATTAAGCAATAAAAAGACCTGTTATACCAAAGACAGGAAGGGAATGAAAGGTAATATAAGAGAATAGATGAACTTCAACATTAATATGAGATAACCAAACCCTCTGAAATCAGCTGTTAAGAATTGATTAATGTCATGCAACATCTGATAAAAAAGGAAAATAAAAGAGGAAGAAGAAGAAGAAGAAGAAGAAGAAGAAGAAGAAGAAGAAGAAAACAAAGCATACAACATGCATAGAAGCTATCCTGATTAATGGCCTGCAACATACATAGCAGCTATCTTGATCAATTGCATGCAACGTGCATAGCAGCTATCCTGATCAATGGCATGCGACATGCATAGCAGCTATAAGCAGGAAACATGGCAGGGGACAGTGCCTTCAAAAAAGTTAATTATAAATTACTTAGAACCCTGTTATTTCTAGGACATTCATCAACTGAAAAGGTGTCTGCTGAAAACTGGACAAGATGATACACAACTCCGTCAATAATATGAAATAAGAAAGAGTAACCGATACCTTAAAAGCCTGGAAAGCTGTCTGCTTCTGAACCCGGAAACTCCGGACTTTGTCATGATCCACAAGATCAAAATATATATCCTTTCCAATCTGTTCTGCAAGATCTTCATCTCTGGCCACCTAGTCATGTTACAGATAATAATTATTAAACCATAAACAAAGAAATCAACAGCAGCTAAGCTGAGTTGGTACCCACCAACTTCAAAACCTTGATTTTGTGATCAAGGTCACGGGTTTCAAATCCCACCAATACCTAATACTTAACTTCCTTTGCATCCACAAACAACAGACCAAGAAAAGTGGAAAATATGGAAAAGCCATACGGTCAATCCATCACTTTACTATAAAGGTACCTTTATAATGGTAAAAAGATGGGCCTGTGCTTTATATCTTCTCTTGTCCTCCTTCTCTTCTTGCTCTTTCTTTAACCTAATCTGGAATAACATGTTGACCATATTAGTAAAGATTAAGAAAGCCTATATTAGGAAGAACACAGGCAAAATGTGAAGCTTTTATATCAACTAAAAGAAAATAAAGATTTACCCTCAGGTGTTCGGCAATGTCCTTCTCATCCACATTACAAATTATTTTGTCCTTGTCACTTTCACGTATGTACACAAGCATGTAAGCATTTGAGTATTTTGTAAATTTAAATGGGATATTATTGAGGCCAGGATTTGTCTGAGGCAACTGTTCCATGTACCAGAACAAGGCAACAGGATTAGTTCATGATTAATCAAATACACAGATAAGAATACAGTTTAGGAACATTACCTCTTCCTCGCCACCATACTGCTCTTCCAATGCCCTCTTCATATCTTCTTTTGTCACCCGTTCATCATCAAATTTATACCTGACAAAACAAAAAGATCCACTTAAGTACATCCTCCAACATGATTTTTTCTGTTCTCCCTCTTGCAGAGGAAAACATTTATCAGAGTGAACAATAAGAGAAGAAGCACTGAGCGTTAGAGGCCGAGGCCAGATACACTTAACTAAGACATGTCTGGGTCAAACAAGATGCAAATAGGAAAATGATGCTCACCATTGATCAGAGAGGGTTGGCCTGATAAAAGCATAGTAATGTCCACCATGAACCCCTCCACTATGAACTAAGACACTGAAACAAAAAACAAGAACATATGGAAAAACATAATACTTCACATGAACACTACAGGATGTAAGTTGAACAGCAATCATAACTGTTTTACAACAGGCAACAATGCCTGCTGCATAACCTGATGCAGTTGAAAAGAAAAATATGAGTTTCACTAACCATGCCTGCTAGAAGTAATTTCTCTATGGCAGAAAAACAGATTCCAACAGCATGTTTGTGACAAACATGCAAGGTGGTTGGCTTAAAGAATTTAACAAGGCTATTCATAGCAGCAACTAAGAATTAAAAAACAGGAGTTACTTCTAAGTATAGGTCACGATGGAGCAGGAAGGTAAGATGGGACCTACCATGCTAACTAACCTTAAGCTAAAATAAGGATGCATTGTGTTGAGATAGCATTTTGTCATACCAAAAGTAAATAGATTATGTTAATGATGTCATATCAAAAAGAGCACTTGGACTGTTAATACCTATGAAGTGTGTAAAGGTTTCGTACACTTCTATCAGCTTCAGGTGATAGATACTTCCCATTCTCTCTATCAAGGTCAAGTTGAAGAGGAAATTCATAGCGATCATTAATCTACAAAATGAAAGAGACTATTAATGTTGACCACCAAAATAATTATCTCACCTGTAAAAAATTCACATTGCACACCCAAGCAGATGAATTAGTTCAACCCAAGTGTTGGAAACAAAGATGTGAAATTGTTGCAGACAATATTACTCTAAATATTTACATAGCAAATTTACTTAACAAAACCCCTTATTTACTATTAGCACAATCACTTCATACAAAAAAAGAGGATATATTTCAATTATAAGAAACACTAACGATTCCTTAAACAAGCTGAAGCATCTCAATAGAAAATTATAAGATGCAATCTTGCCTTGAAGTTAAAGAACTAATTTCCAATACTGACCTTCACCATGGTGTCCCGCATAAAATCATATTCAAACCGCTTGAGTTGAAGTTGAAGAACGGGGGGAAAGTCAATAAACAAGACACCCTTCTTTGCATCCTGAAATGGTTGAAATTTCAAGCATATAGCAAAACTTTCTAAGACAGTGGATTGTACAAGAAATTCAAAGGATGTCAAATAAGTAGAGTGGCAACGTAACAATGGAGAAGCCTTGGTAAAAAGAGCACATAACTTAATTATATTCAGAACATCTTAGGCAACCAACAAGTCTTCCAATTGGATTCCAGAAACAATATCTCTAGCTAGACCTTCATATTGACTAAGCACATGTAATTAGACTTTATGAAATATATAACTAGAGTATTTGGTGAATAAGAGGAACATAACAGAGCCTCAGCTGAGATGATTACAAACTAAATATTTGCACTAATATTTTGCAAGAACCTGGATATCCTGGAGATATTTATGAGTCCCGACAGAAACTATCTTACATATACAGGAAGGAGTTAACACAAATAAACTAATCAGATCACTCTGTCCAGTCAGTGCCAGCAGAATGGTTGAATGTTTTCTTCGAGGGGTAGACCATTTCAAACCTAAAAATTATTTGCTAGACTTACAAAATTCAATGTATGAATAATCTCTAATGTGTGCTTAAAAGTCAAGAAAACAAGTGGTTTAAATGCTAACAAACCTGCAAGCCATGTTCTTCAGCATGATACTTGTTATCACCCTCAAGGCGTTCAACTTCCACATACTTGTCAAAAGAAGCATAAACATCTCTGCAGCCTTTGACATCAAGCTGAAGGTCTGCAATGTTCCATGAACATCACAGTGTTAAGCACTGACATTAAAAACATTAAGACAATTTAAACTTTGGTAAATAATAAATACCATAAAAGGATTCCTTTCTTGTAGATTTATAATCTACATTGATGCATTCAATATAATTCATATGGTGACCTTCAAATAACTGTTGTATTGTCCCCTCTACAACAGTTCCCTGGACCAAAAAGAAAAGAACAATTATATTCAAATAGATGCACAAAGACCACCTAGAAAGGAAAAAGGGAAAGAAAGCAATACCTTCATTTTATCTTCAAGCTTCTCACTCAGAACTCTGTTGAGTTCTTGTACATCATGTTGCATGAAGGAATCATACGTGTCCCAACCAAAAGATTTTGTCAACTCCTTTGTTGCAACACTGGTGTCATTATATTGAAGCTTATAAAATAAACTTTGAAGTGCCAAAGGAATACTTCCAGTAGGCATGTCATTCTCAGTTGTTGGCATGTGGTACACAGCCTGAATATATTGAATGAAAAATGAGATTCTCTCCCCAGAAGAAATACACACTCAACCATTGTGAGCATACAAAAAGAAAATATGAAACAGCCTCCACAGTCCACACCTTTCTGAAGTATGGTATATGGTACAGTGTTTGCAATAAAGAATTCATATAACAAGTTGCGCCTTGGTTCTTAAGTCCAACATAACCAGTCTCCTTCTTTGAATCATATGACCAATAATCCTGGATCTTACGGACAGCAACCTCAGCTTCAACAATGACCACATCATTCACAAGATAGCCTCTACTAGGGTCATAAAGATCACTCAGAAGCATAAATGATGTGAAACCCCAATCACTCTCTCTTGCATTGAACTGATGTTGTGTGTCTGTAAAATGTCAAGAAAACAGTGAAGCATTAAAATAATGAGAATTTCCAGAAGTACTTTAAGATTGACCACAACATGTTGGGAAAGGCACAAACAACGTCACTTATACGTCACACGAAAAGGTTCTATTTTGTCCCTTTGAAGTTAATGACACTCAATAAAAGCCAGAGTGCTTTCAATGAAAAAACTGGATAGTTACCAAATACCAATCAAGAGGAAACCATCCAATTTGCTTCTAAATTCATGCATGTACTTGCAAGCACCAGCACAATACAGAAAATTTTTGCAAAACTAATTTTCAAAACTCATCTCTAAAGGACAAGTTGTTCATTCACATAGCTGTTTAAGCTAGCAGAGTAAAAAGTGATGACAGGTCCATTTTATCTTAACAGAATGAAATTTAAGAGAACCAAGCACATTACAAGCGAATTCCTTAGAGACACAACTGCTATAGTAAATTTCCTTCTGAATTTAAGAAAAAGAATAAAATCCTCTTACTGCAGGTGGTTTTACCACTTCATTAGAACAGAGCTTTTAGAAGAAGTGAACTTTGTTTTAGTTGTATTAATCTAGACAGTGATATGGAAATTGGAAAGAGGATCTACAAATAGAAAGTGTAGTTTGAATGTATGGGGAATATGCTATTTTATTGGCAAGTATGGAGTCCAGAGTTCAATAATGTTTTTGTCAAATTCACTTCAGACTTGGAAGGTAATTGATGATAATCAAAATCCCAAAGAAGAACCTATTTCCTTCCTAAGTGGAATAAAGAAAATATATATAACTTCAAAGTCCCATGGTTTTCTCTAAGTCACCCTGTTCTCAAAAGAGTAAAAACAGATAGATAAAACAAAGAATATCAAAAACTTAAAAGTCATGTCCAGTGACAATCAAATGTTAGCATGCCACACAAAAGAAGTTCAATAAGCAATAAGCACCATCTAAAAACATACATACTGCTTTTTTTCTGGGGCACAGCAAGATTGGCATAAAATTGAAGCATTTGCATGTTAAAGTATGACAAAAGGAATATTTCAAATAAAAGGTGCCACCATAAAAAATAATAAACTTAATAGTAGAAAAATCTCAACAACAGGAACAGTATAAAGGTACCCTTTCTTATGGAATATTTGGGATGAATTTGATTAACCACAGCCAAGCTAAACTGTGCATATCTAAGCCAGCCATATGGCAATATAGCAGAGTCTGCAACGTCTAAATACATAGACAAGTGATCCACATTATTTCCTTTTGGGAAAATAAGTATCCGCCTGCAAAAGGTCAAATGAGAAACAGCATATAGCAACATGCCAAATCAAATACATGGCAGTAAACAATAAGCTTACATGAAAGAAAATAAAGAATGACACTTACCATTTATAACCACCAACAATGAATATGTCCGAATAGTGCTTCTTGGTGTTTAACCTAGAAAAATTCTCAATTGGCCATGTGAATCTCATGGATGGAGGATCCTCCACTTGCTGATTCTCAACTGTACTGGCAGGCTCCACTTGTGAAACTACTCACGCCAAAAAAAAAAAAAAAAAAAAAAAAAAAAAAAAAAAAAAAAAACAGCAAAGAAAGAATTTCAAAACCCTAACATCCTATCCTAAACAGTCGAATTATATATCACTCTTTAACACTGTAACAAAAACAAAAACAGCAATCTTGAATCAATCAAGATACATCACTGTCATTGAGCATAAGTTTTATGAAAACATGAAGTGAATTGCAACCTAAATAGGAAAGTAACGCCAAAAACACACCTTCCATAGGCTGAGGACCTTCGACTAAATCAGAATGCGGTACAAGCATCTCCTCGTCCTCTTGCTGCGAAATCCAAACTCGAAAAAATCAGTGCAAAACCTTTCTCACCGAATCAAAACCCTAAACATCACACTCAAATGCATGAAAAACAAGATGATCCCTCATAATTCACGTCAAATCAACATTGTTCCAATCAGAAACCAAAGCCTCAGGCGACAACCGAACACCTCAAAGCATCGACAGAGAGAATTAAAACAGGAAAACAGATGTGCAGATAATATCAACACAAGTATAAAAACAGAAGGAACAAAGACGGTATGTACGTCTAACGGTGGAGTTGCCATCATCGTCATGGATGGAGGTACAGCGACCTGCCGATCCGGAAATGGAGAGTCGATGCCGGAGACAGAGAAATTAACAGTAGATTGGGGAGACGAAGAAGAAGCGGGCACTGGAGGGAAGACTAACGCAGAAGAAAGGCCCTTGAGTTTTACAGGGGGATGGTAGGAGTGGAATTTAGGTGAAAAGTCTGGGGTAGTTTGGGGAAGGCAGAGATTGCTGTTGTCTGCGGGAATGCTAATGGAGAAGAAGCAAATGAGACGGTGACACGTTACGTAGTGAGGTTGGTGACGTGCAAATGAGTGACGTGGCAGCTTGCGGAGGTCACGTGCGTTACATTATTTTTAATTTTTCAGCATCTTTTTGATTTTTTTTTTTATTGCACGTCTCATTAGATTTTATATTGTAAAATAATCCACACAATCTTATTTTATAAATGTAACAGAATTTATGATTCACACATTTTCATTCAATAGAGTTTTTAAATTATATTTATTTATTTATTTAATTTAATAATATATGATTATTTTGATGATTTTATTTAAAAAATTTATCATAAGAATTATTTTTCTGTAGTTAAAGTCATAGAAGATTAAGCATTAATTTAGATTAAAAAAAAGTTATTTATGAATTAAGTCAAAAATTGCTATAAAATTAAATTTTGAATGTTGTATATAATAAATTATAAGTTTTCTTAACAAGAAACGTGTGGAGTTGTTAATCAATAAATAAATAAATATGGAATAAATTGTAAAATGTAAGTACTAAATTTAATGCTTCTATTGAGTAACACGGCAGATGGCGCATCCACAGGTTTGAATTGTTCTCTCGCTTTTTTTTTTTTTTTTTTTTTTTTTTTTTTTTTTTTTTTTTTTTTGTGTTGGAAAGAGTTTCATTTTTTAAGTTAGGCACCTTTAAGTACTGGTGATATTCCTACATAAATAATTATTAAGATAAAATAAACATACAATAAGAGTATTTTATTCCGTTATTAATTGATAATTTTTTTTTAACATATTTATAAAAACCAGATTCGAACCATTACTTAGGAGGAAAGGAATACATTTTAATATGGTTTTGTTGTTATTGGGCATGAAGGTTCAAGTGCTATTAATTAATTGATAATTATAATTATTAACTAATAATGATAATTGATAAATTAAAAATTAACTTATAAACAAAAATAATAATGCGTTATATAATAAAAAATAATCATTTTTTTCTTTTAATTTCTTTTCATGTGTTTCAATACATAAATTCATGATTTTTAACTAAAAATCTCAAACTTTTAAATATATGATCTCAAACTTTTAAATATATGATACACTCTTTGTGGGCAATTAACCTATAAATTTATATTTCAAACATATCAACCAATTATAAACTTATAAATTCGAACAAGCCAACTACGACTATATTATTTTGTATGGCCTTAATAATTATCAGTATGGCCATAACCCTGCCCTCACCCGTTGTTTTTTTGTTTTTTGTTTTTTGTTAAAAAAAAAAAAAAAGAAAAGTTCAAAAGAGATGGCATCTAAATTTCAAGCATGCATGATGGTAATATCAGATGTAACATCAGTTAGGAAAATAGAAGTTGATATTGTTAGGTCCTTTTTGTATTTTAATGATAATTTAAAACCATGATTTAAAAAAATTTAATTTATTTTTGTACTAAATGTGTAGGAAAATTAATTCAAAGATTTTAATCTTTTCCCATGATTAGAATTGAATCAAATCCTCCTTGTTCAGAGTTCTGGGTTCGAATCAAAATCAATTATATTTGATTCGAACCAATCCCGAATTTCTTTTTTCCAAAAATGGTTCGAACCATTATTTCTAGCTTCGAAGCAAAAATTATGGAAGGGTAAATTTTGACAACTCAACTATCCATTTATTCTTAATGAGTCATAGGGGATCCAAATGTCTTAGCAATCTCCAAGACAAGTCAAAAAAAATAGGTGGAACCTAATCGGGGCAATTGTGAGGAGGCTTTGAAAGGCTAAATGGGTTTTAATTGCAAGGTTCCTAACCAACTATTAAAAGGACATCAAAAATCAAAATTGCATGAATGAAGAAGGACGAACTGCTCTAGCAATACAAAAAAACAAAGTTTGTTTTTGAAAGTGTTCTGGATCTCCTTCTTCTTCTCTTCTTGTGAGCTTTTGAGTTAATTGTCTTACAAGGGTTTTGTATTCTTTTTAGATTTGGATAATCCTTGAAAGGGTTGAGTGAGTTGAGATTCACTTGTGAGAGTTTAATCTTGCACCCGGAAGCAAGAGTTTGTTCCGGTTTAATCTTGCACCCGTAAGCAAGAGATTTCTAGTGGATTGAACTCTCGAGTAAGGAGGCTTGGGGAGTGGACGTACTCCGGGTTGAAGGAACCACTATAAATCACAGCTTGATATTCTCTTCCCTCTCTTTTATTGTTCTGCACTATATTACTCTTGTTTATTCTGCACAACAGCTTATCTATATTGAAAATTTCATTCACATTTTTATAAAAGAAATGAAATGAGTTTTATATTTTAGGAATTGAGGGATAGTTAGCTGGGATTACAGATATCTTAGAAGATATTTTTTTATATATATAATAGAATTTATGATTCACGCCTTTTCATTCAATAGAGTTTTTAAATTTATATATTTCTTCATTTAATTTAATAATATGTGATTATTTTGATGATTTTATTTAAAGAAGTTACCATGAGAATTATTGTTTTCCTAGTTAAAGTCATAAAAGATTAAGCATTAGTTTATATTACAAAAAAAAGTTACTTATAAATTAAGTCAAAAATTGCTATAAAATTAAAATTTGAATGCTGTATATAATAAATTATAAATTTTCTTAACAAGAAACATGTGAAGCAGTTAACCAAAAAAATAAATAAATATAGAAAAAATTGTAAAATTTAAGTACTAAATTCAATCTTAATGCTTTCCTTGAGCAACACGGCAGATGGAGCATCCACGGGTTTGAATTTTTCTCTCTCGTTGGAAAGAGTTTCTTTTTTGAAGTTAGGCACCTTTGACTGCCGGGAATATTCTTACATAAACAATTATGAAGATTGCATAAATATACAATAAGTTTATTTAATTTTGTTCTTCAAAACAATTGATAATAGTAATTCTTAATTAATAATAATAGTTGATAAAATAGAAATAACTTATAAATGCAAGATAATAGCTCATGTAATAGGATATAGTCCTCCCTTTCTCTTGATTTCTCTTCATATATTTCAATATTTGAAACCCATTATCTCTAATTTAAAATTTCAAACTCTTAAACATGTGAAATACTCTTTGAGGGCAATTAACTTATAAATTTATATTTCAAACATATTAACTAACTATAAACTAATAAAACCAAACAAACCAAATACAGCTATTGTATTTTGTATGGCCATAACCCTGCCCTCAACCGTTGTTTCACAAAAAAAAAAAAAAAAAGAAGAAAAAGTTGAAAAGAAATGGCAGCTAAATTTCAAGCATGCATGATAGTAATATCAGATGTAACATCACTTATGAAAATAGAAGTTGATATCCTAGAAGATATTGTTCAGATACCACATGGCCAAAGACATGAAAGGGATTATTTTAGGGGAGGAGGTCCTTCCAGCTCTCCCATACCTTCTTCATTTGTTGTACATCTTCAGCGGCTAGCTTTGCTGCTTCTGCCACGTCACCTGCTTGTTTCTTTTCTGCCATTATTTGTTTTCCTTCAACATCTAACTCTTCCAGCAATTTTGACCTGGTGCTTGTGAGGACGTCCACAGTGCTCTTCTTTTCTGGAATGAGGTTCCTTAACTCAGCTAGACGAGCCTCAATCTGGCTCAGTTCACTCAGGAGGTCCTGGTATTCTTTGGATTGGAGAGCATGCTCAGCCTTGGTCTTCAGGTATTCCTCCTTTTTGTGGATTAAGGTAGTAGTTCCGTCTTCAATCTTCTTTTGAGCTGCCATTGCTTCTGTCACTATTTTTTGCTTATTGTTGAATCGCTGACTGAAGTCTTCAAGGATAGAAGGGAAATCTGTCCAGAACTGGCGATGAGATGCGGGGAGACTTGGAACCTGGCTAAGTGTTTGGGCTGCATCTAGTATCTCTTTTTGATCTAGCTCCTGGCAGATTTCAGAGGGATTACATTTTATCAAGCTTTGGATGATAGAGGTTGCTCGATTTATTTCTTCCTGAGTTGGTATTTCAATCCAATCTATGGTCTCCGTCTCCATTGTTGCTTTTCCTTTGCCAGGGGTGACAGGTTCTTCTTTCGTCCGGAGATCTGTCAGAAGCTCCAGCCTCGCAAAGATTTCTTTCTCAAAGTCTTCATCCAGGACTCCCACCTCATGATTCAAAGTCTGTAAATGTGGAATCAAGCTTGATTAGTAACTGAAGTAAGGATGAAAAACACATAGCAAAGCAGTAGAATTACCTTTTCGGGAGTAAGCTGGGTCTCAGTTGCAATAGATGTTGATTCACCAATGGAATCCTGTGTAAGATCAATCAATTTATTAGGTCTATTGATTCTAAAATTCTTCTCTACAAGTCTCAAGGGAAGCATTTTGCATTTGACCTTTGGTTGTGGAGGAAGAGAGCTCCTATTGGAGGGAGTAGAATCAGTAGCTTCTTCTTCGGGCTCTTCTTTTTTGTCTTCTTTTTCTTCCAGCGTGGCTTCTTGCTTGTATTCTTCTTCTTCATCCTCTATTTGTTGCCCAGTCTCAGTTTGTGAAGCTGTTTCTATCAGGGGACTGGTTAAAGGGGAGACCTTTTTGCTAGCAGCTGGCTTCTTGGCAGATTTCTTGAGGCCTGTAGAAGAAAAGTTAGTAGTCTTTCAAATATTGGAGGATGCTTACAAGCAATTTTGATTGGTATCTTGCCTGCTCCGTCTTCTGATGCCACTGGGGTGGCAGGAACTGTACCAGGCACTACCTCAGCTTCAATAATGACCGTATCATTCACAATATAGCCTCTTTTAGGGTTGGAAAGATCACTTAGAGGCATAAATGATGTGAAACCCCAGTCACTCTCTCTTGCTTCGAACTGATGTTGTGAGTCTGTAAAATGTCAAGAAAACAGTTAAGCATTGAGTCTTGAGACTTTCCAAAAGCACTTAAAGGTTGAACAAAACATGTTCAGAATGACATGAACAAAACCAAACAACAGTTCTATTTTGTCCTTCTATGAACTTGATGACAGTACGATAGAGAGAAATTTTCCCAAATCTAAGGCTCTATTTAGTATGGTTTTATATCTTTGGTTTTCATAAATCTTGCAAATACTGGAAACCAAACTAAAAATTAAAAACTAAAAATTTGTTTAAAACAAATTTTAACTCTGAAATTTATAAATATAAACTTATTTAATAGTAATAAAACTATTTTTGTTCTTATTTCTCTAATAATCATAATAATATGCTGGCAAAACACACCAATCCAAACAAGCTTTTTGTTTAAAGTTGCAAACTTTATAAAAACTAAAACCAAAAACCACAACCGTATACTAAACAGAACCTAAATTTATAAAAAAATCTTTAAAAGGATTAGTTGTTGATGCACAAAGCTGTTTAAGAGAAGCAAGCACATTACAAGAAAATTCAAAATAAAAAATAAAAACAAAACAATTTCAAAGCCTTGAATGTCATATCCATTAACAACCAAATGAAAGCATGGCACACAAAAGAAATTCAATAAGCAGTATCACCTAAAACCATATATATATACTGCTTCTGCTTTCTTCCCGGCCAAAGCAGATATTTGAGTCAAATTGAAGCATTTTAATGATATAGTAAAGATTAATTCCAAAATAAAAGATGCCACCACAAACAACAGGA